TATGAAACATACTGAATATAAAAATTTTGTAAAAAGTCTCAAACAACAAACACGCAAGAATACACGAATTCATAAAAACGTTGTTTCATTCCTGTAATGATAATGTTATTGATTTAATAATGCTAATAGAACAAGTTAGAACCCATATCCCATGCCCAATTGCATCTTCCACTTTTGTCTGCTGAATTCAATCTATCCGAATTATCAACCATTAGTGAAGAAGATTAAAACTCCAATTGTGCGTGTGGAAGTCTAAACAAGAAAATTAAGAGGGAAATCAGCTGATTAAAAAATACTTTAATAAAAATAAATCAAATTTTTTATTACAGACAATTAATTAGAGATAAAAGGAAAAGTAAATATGTGGAATATTACGATAAAAACAAATAAAAATTAACCATATATGTTCCGCAAAATAATCTATAAGGGCATATGCGGTTACATATATGTTTTAATTGGCATTTTTGTAATATTGTATAATAATCGATACTTTTAAAATTAAAGCTTTAATAATAGGCATTTTATGTTTTTGTTTGTTCTATTCAACATCCTTCTTCTGAAACCATGATTTATTATTTGTTTTGACGTATCACATTGTTTCCTTAATGGGAAAAACGAATTTTTTTAGGAAAAAAAAAAAAGGAGAGGAGAGGGGGAAAAAAAGAAAGGAAAACAGAGGGCATTATTACAATTCCATAAGGTATTCTGATAAGAAAAAAGCCCTTCTTCTTGCAAATAATTGGTAAAGCGATAAAGACCGATAAGATTTTGTCTTTTATGTTTTAAACTTATAATGCTATGTTCCTGATGGTAGATATTTAGAACATTAGCATATATGTCCAAATTAATAAATACTAACTTTGATCATTTCACAAAGATTTTAGTACTATTAATAATAAACAAAATACCATGAGTAGAAAGAAGCAGTACTTTATTTATATACAAGCGTCATTTCGGAAAGAACAATTGAGATAAAGATAACAACAAGCAGTATTAGAAATAAAGATAGTGAAAACACACCTGATGAAAAGGAAAAAATCACACACCAGTTGAAAACACACCTTCAATAAAAAAGAAAAAAAAAAGTCAAATGAAAACAAACTGGATCTTTAAGAACACATGTAGATATATAGGAACACAAAGGCAATCAGCTCAGCAACATCGTTTTGGGATGCAAAGGTGGCCGGTCATGTGCCAACTTTCGCCTCCATCGCATTGCGCATAAGGGCATGCCGGAATGTAGACTCTGTCGAAATGCAGGTTCCATGCTGCGTTCGGGTCTTGAGTCGAGAAGGGGGTCCAACTAGCAGTCGAATTCTCGTATCTACTATGCGTGATGCGATTGAACTTCTCCACGTCCTTATTCTTGTTTATGTCATCCGGGTCGATGTCGATAATGAAAATATCGCCATAAGGCCTCACAGAGTGCACGAAAATAGGCAAAGAGATAGGATCCACAGACACCGCAGCAAGATCCGCAGTCACAACAATGCTCTTTCCGTCCGGACTAAAGAACGGATGGTTGACATGCCCTGCAAGATCACTATCACTTCCTAACACTCTTACCACCACTGACGGATCATTCGCCTTCACTAGAAATACCGCAAAGTATCCTGGGTCAAGACCATTGTCACTTTCCGGTGCATCGTCTGGCTTGTCGCGGGTTGAAGAAAAGACTATCCAATCTCCCCTTGGGGACCATTGGCAATGTGTGTCAGTCCAAGCCCCATTTGTTAGCCTTGTTATTATGCCATCCCCATATTCGCCTAATTCTGCATTCTCCATTATGTATAGGTTCTTGTATTTCTTATCCCCTCCGTTTCTCGTAGATCGAAATACTAATTTCGTCCCTATTACATTAAGTTAAACAAATTCTAGTTCTATTAATTATATCACGTTATAACAGGAATTTTGAAAGGAATTAGAAGGAGCAAGTATAGCTAGGAAGTTGTTACCAGCTGGATTGGTGGATGGGAAGGCGTTGTTGGAAACTCTTGTTAGCTGTATACGATGTTTTGCGCCACGGGACACTTCGGGGATGGCGCAGATGTCCAGACTTTGGGCGGAGTTGAAAGAAGGTCCGGTGCATACATAGAGAATATCCTTTTCCTTATTTTGGTTCCAAACCGGCGAGAAGATGTTGTCGGGGCCTTTTCAAGACTGGAAACAGTTCAAGATATTACGCGAATAAGAATTTAATGTGATATCTAAAGTAGTCAAGGATTTAACATTTAACTGTAAATATGCAGTAGAAAAAGGTGTTAGCGTTTATGCCCTTAGGAATAAATGTAACAATATTCTTTGAGATATTTTGACTATTAATAAAGATTTTTTTATTTTATATATCTATGAATTGTCCTCTTTATGTTCATAATAGTTGAATGTATGATAAGCAAACTGAAAGTCTGAGACTGTCATTCTAAATCTTTAGGTCATGCATGTAATGTGAAGAACATGCG